GGGGGCCCCCCCCGCGCGTCCCCCCCCCGGCTCCCACCCTGCCCTGGAGCAAGGGTCCCTCGGTGCCCAGCCAGGCACGGGGCTGTGAGGAAGCAGCACAGACCCTTTCAGGACTGTGACCCCAGGAGCCCGTCAGAGCCAGGGCAGAGGGGACAACACACCCTGGAAAGGAGGGGACACTCTCACAGTGACACGAACTCCATCCCCTGCCTGCCCTGCTCTGGGTGCATCCCGCTTTGCAGACCCTGAGTGCCCCAGATCGGGTGGGTGGGTCTGCGTGGGCACCACAGGGTCAGGTCACGCCGGTGGTGCGCAGATGCCTGGGTTTGGGCATGATCCCAGCAGCAGCCTTGGGGCAGATGCCAGCCTGGCCAGAGGGATGGGTCACCAAGCCCCTTCGTGACGGGTCACTGGATGACGGTGCTGCCATGGCCCATGCCGGGAAGGACCTCCCCGCTCCTCCCAGCAGCCCTGTGGCAGCCAGCTGGGAAACAAAAGCTCCCTTTGTTCTTTCACAAGTGACTAAAGAAACTGGGAAAATCCTAAATTTCAGTGTTGGTTCAACAGTTCCCGCAACCCCTTCCGGGAGCTTGCAGGCACTTCCCTTCTGCTGCAAGACGGGAGGCTGTTTACCCCAGGGTGACTACAGCCCTTCAAAACCACCACCTTGCCCAAGCCAACACCCACAGCATTGTCCGTGCAGCCTGGCACGCAGCAGCACCGGGGTGGGCGGAGGGCCAGGAGCACGGCGCTATAAAGCCGGCAGCCCTGGCACCACTCTCCATCCCGCTGGTGAAGCCAGAGGAGGCTGTGGTGAGATGAGGACCGTGGGGCTGAGCCTGGGGCTGGTCCTGCTCTGCTTGCTACGCACGGAGGCTGAGGACATCGGGGCTGCGGGGCTGGACAAAAGCCAGGTGATCTGCAACATTCCAGGAAAGGGAAGGTGGGAGCGTAGCCTCCAGTCACCAGGGTGGGGACTGGAGAGGTGTTTTGGTACTGGGGACAGCTGGGGACCCCGCAGCCACCGCTGGCTCTGCTGTCACACTCAGGCGAGGGCAATCACCCAGCCCCAGCGTAGGTGTCCCAAGCAGGGATTTCTGTGCCTGGAGGGGATGCAGGTGTCCCATGGCCTGAGGGTGTCCTGGCTCAGTCCCCAAGGAGGGGACAGCCCCTGCCTGCTCCTCCGGACTCACAGCCCACCCTCACTGCCAGATTGCAGGGAAATGGCACATCATTGCTCTGGCCTCCGACTCCGAGAGCTACCTCCGAAAGAAGGATGAGCTGAAGATGGCGATGGCCACCATCGCGGTCCTCGGGGAGGGCGACCTGAAGGTCTCCTTTGCCATTCCCACGTAAGTGCCAAGTACTTTTCTTCACAGGCTTCACTGACCGACCTCCTCCCTGGACCTTCACCAGTGGGTCTCCACCTAGATGCCTCCACCCAGCACCCACCAAAGACTTGGGCAGGGGATGAGGCAGGGCCACCAGCCCCGCGGTTTGAAACAGGGGCTCAGGAGAGCTGCATTGGGGGGACCCATTCATCAGGGCAGGCCAGGCAGGCTCAGGGCAGCACCAGCCGGGAGTGGTCCCACCACAGAGGCTGAGGCACCCCGCGGCTCCCAGCAGGGATGCAGCAGGATGATAAGGGACCCTACGATTAAAGCTTTCCCAGCAGGACCAGCCTCATCCCACCAGCTCAGAGCATGTCACCCCACAGGGCGATCCTCAGGTGCCAGCACCCTGCCAACCCAGGCACCCGTTGCTCCAAGGGTGCCAGCTGTCCCCCACCTCTGGCCACACCATCTCATGCCTGAACAGCAAGTCCCATGTTTGGGGTAGCGACCCAGGAGCCAGTGTCCCCAGGAGAGGAGAAGGGGGGTCACTTCGCCCCAGCTGGAGCATCCTTCACTGTTTTGCAGCCCAGAGGGATGTAAAAAATCGGAGTCGATCTACAAGCAAACAGGCATCCCGGGTGAATACTACAGCTCTGGTGAGTGGGGGGAGCCTGGCCCCCGGGACGAGGCGGAAGCACTTCCCATCACCCCTGTCTGAAGCAGCTGGTTGTCCCTGGGGACATGGCCCTCAGGGGTGCCTGTCTGCCTCTCCTGACGTCCTGGGGTGGGACATCCCTCTGCGGCCAGTTGTCAGCTGTGCCGCAGGGCTGGTCTGTGCCAGGGCTAGTGACCATCCAGTGTGGTGGACCCCCCCGCTCCCTCCCTCTAGGAAGCTGCTCTGGGATAAGACAGACATGTTCAGACCAAGCTTAAACCCGGGGGCAGAGCAGGTTCATTCTGCAATGGGGCTGTGGATGGATGTTCCCAAGGGATGAAGCAAGAGTGTTTTCCCACCATTCCCAGCCCAAGTGTTAGTCTGACGCTGGCCGGGCTACTCCCCTGTCTGCAGTGGCCATCCCCAGACCCTCCCGTGTTCACCTTCCCATCCCTCTGCTCTTCTGTGATCTGTGGGCTCCCCCAGGCTTTCAGAGGAGCCTTAGCAAGAGGAAAAACCAGGAGGGGGAGACCCAGAAGAAAGACGGCCTGGGTGGTCCTGGCCCTTGGCATCCTGCATGGGGCTTCACACTCTTACAGTCCTTTTGCAGTGTGGGAGCTCTCAGGGGGAGGTAACTAATTTTTTGCTTTCCTCCACATCCTTTTGCAGAGAGAGGCAATAAAATGGTGCAGGTGGTGGATACCGACGGCAAGACGTACGCAGTTATCTTTGCCTCCAGAGTGAAGGATGGGAGGACCTGGCACATGCTGAGGCTCTACAGTGCGTAGCCAGTGGCAGTCTGACCGGGGTGAAGAGCTGGGACATGTCGGGGTGCTTCGCAGTGTCCCAAGAGGCCAGGATTCAGGATGCCTGTGGGACACTCTCCCCACCACTGCCCTCCTGCCCTGGGTGGGGTGCAGGAGCGGGGCTGGGGCTGCTGTGTGTCCCCTGTGCGGCAGGGGAAGGGACAGCGATTTGGGGCTGGCAGGGGTGGCTGGGGCTCAGGCTTCTGCACTGTGCTGGGAGTCCATGGCCTTGGGTAAGTCACTTGGTGAAATGGGGCAAAGAGTGGGGGTCCTGCTGCAAGGTGGGGGCAGAAACGGTTGGGATGGGAACCAAGAGAGGAGACACTATGCTGGTGCCAGGACCTCCACTTCGTCTTGTCCCCTGGGAGGGGTGTCTCATGTGCCTGGCCACCACCACTCTCCAGAACCTCCGCCACTGCCTCCAGCCTTCTCCCAGGGACCATCATCCATCCCATCCTCGCCTGGGCACACTCACCAGCTGCCCAGGAGATGCAGGGACAGGCCACTGCCTGGACCTAACTCATGTCTTTGCCTTTAGGCAGGACCCGGGAAGTGAGCCCCAAAATCACAGCGCTGTTCAAGAACATTGCGAGGGAGAAGAGCTTCACCGATGAGATGATCAAGATACTGCCCAGCCAGGGTGAGCACTGCGTCGGGCTGGCTCGGTCGATACAGGGAGCCAGGACATGCTGGCAGGGAGCAGTTCGGCCCATCACTGCCACCACTTTGTGGTCTGAGCTGGCAGGAGAAAGTGCTGGTAGCAAGAGGCACTCTGGCTTGGCATGTTGTGGCTTTCTCCTTGTTCAAGTTCATTCCTGGGTTGTCTATTTTGGGTGCTAAATGGGACTAGCCAGACCACAGCCCTGGACTCAGCCTTTCTCTTTATTTTCACAGAGGAATGCAGCCTCGATGAAGCGTAGGTGAGTTGCTGCAGTGCAACACAATGTTTGCAATGTCCTCAGCTGGAAATTGCTCCCCTTGGTGCCCCAGCAAAGGCCAACATGAACTCTTCGAATTACTCTGGTGGCCGAGTTGTTCAAACCTGTGCTGGAGCTGGCACCCAGGTAGGACCATTCCCTTTGGAGCTGCTCTGCAGCAGGGACCCCCAGGGTGCAGCTGCCTGGCGGTGAGCAAGGGCACTTGAACCGAAACTACCGGTTCAGTGGAGAAACAAGCTGCAGAGCTCATCCAGCAGTGAGGGCCAGGACACCGGCTCTTGCCAAAGGGACCCTGGGGTTGTGGACCAGCAAAACTGGCCAGAGGTTGGGTCGGTGTCTGACCATGCAAAACATGTTTGTTGTTGGCCCACCCTGGCACAGGATTTCCCACCACACCGCACCATTCTACAACTGAATGTGTATATTCAGTTGTAGAGGTTAGCTAGAAATCCATTGCTGGAGATGGCTCACCCTACAAGAGCTGGGGAGAACTGGAATAGAATGCACTGATCCTGATGGAGAGCCCTGCTTGGCCCTCTCCGTTGGCCTCCTCACCTCAAAATCTCAGCCCACCTCTCCCGGCTGTTTTCTAGGAGGTGCGGGCTGGCTGGCGAGGATGCTCCTGCTGAGCGATGCAAGACCCACGCTTTGAAGCTCCAGGCTGCTGCTCCACCATCCCTCTTCCAAGCTCGGTGGTCAAGGCTCTGACACATCCCCTGTTCCTCCAGCACACAGTCCCTCCTTTTTGCCAAATAAACAGAAACTCACCCCGGAGCTTGGTGTAACTGTCTGGGGAGAATCTGGGTTTCCTCAGGCGTGTGGTCCCTTCTGTTGTCCTCCCGGGGTCTGTGGATGGTAGGCAGCCAGGGGCAATCCTGGGCTGAGCTCAGGGCAGTTTCAGAGCACACCAGGATTGTCCCTCTTGGGTGCCTCCCACAGGGCAGGACCACAGCCAGGCAGAGCTGAGGCAAGGGGTGCAGTGAGGCTGGAAATCCTGTGGGCACGAGGGGCGGGGTGGAGAAAGGCCATGGGACTCGGCCACAGAGATTGAGGTTGGAGTTTGGAGGGCTGCAACCACTGCCATCATCCAACTCGCCTTCTCTCCGCCCGCCCTGCTGCGATTGCGGCCCTCTGCTCCCTGGGAGCCCTGCTCGTCCACCAACTCAGGCTGGGCCAAGGCAGGGGCAAGACTCAGCTTTGGGACCTCTCAGCCCCATGGTGCTGCAGGGCTGGTGGAAGGTGGGTGTCTGAATACTGGGCCCAAACCCGGAGAGCTGGTGTGGGGCTGCTCATGATCTCTGCCCCTGGGCACTGTGCAAAGAAAGCCCCCACTGGAGTCAGATTATCTGGTGGTGGTGGACATCTGCCTCCAGAGACTGTCTTCCTTTGAATTTATATTTCTGAAATCCCACTCCTTCCTTCCCTTCCTGCTCTGTTCAGCTCCTCAAATCCCCCCAGGAGAAACCACAGCCTGCCCAGGGTAACCCGTGTCCCCAGCGAAGCCCTGCCACCTCACGCGTGCTCATCTCCAGGGCTCAGGCAGTGCTCACAGGCACTGAGGTCTAGCAGGGTAAGAAGCAGCTTGTGCCTCTCCTGGAAAAGGAAGTTCCTCCAAAATCCTCTGTGCTGGCCTCTCCACCCTGCCGATCCCTGGCCAGCCTGGCTGGTCACCCAGGTATTCATTTCAGCCCGGGATCTGCCGTGCTGCTGCGTGACGCTAGCAGGTACCCCTGAAAGGTGTCGTCCCAGCAGCTGAGCACCTCGGGATGTTCCGTCCTCCTCACACGGACCGGGAAAATACATTTGGGAAACTGCCTCTCCTGATCTTGAGGATCACGAGAGCTGGACACGTGCCAGCAGCAGCAGGTCAAGGGACATCACTGGGACTTCCCAACCCAGTGTCATCTCCACCCTCTTTGGAAGGAGTCCAGAGCTTCCCGCAGGAATTCTCCCCGGCAGTTTAGACTGGAACAGTTCAGCATTTGCTGTGCTCTCAAGAGCGCCGGGCCCACACACAGCTTTGCCTTGAGGCTTGTTTTTGGTACATGTATTGATGTCGATGAAAACATCCTGCTGCCAGCAACGCCCTTCGCCAAGGGCTTTGTGTGACGGGGAGTCCCGGTGTCTCCACATGGTGTTCCAGCCAAATATTTCCTTCCTGCCGTGTGCAGGCATCACCCTGCCAGACAGCGGTGAGATCATTTCTCTTTGCCACCGGCATTTTCCACTCCTCCTTTTGTCTGTCCGTTTTCTCCCCGTGCCCTGGAGCAGGATGCACACAGGCTGCAATTTCAGATCTTTTCTGGGTGAGCCTCCTCCATGCAAGGCAGGTGGGGGGTCCCCACCGCAGCCCCCCACAATCCATCAGCCCTCCCATCAAGCCTGTCCCTGTACCTGCTGCTCATGCAACGCTCGTCAGATCATGCAGCCCCTCTGCCAGCACCCTGCCTTCAACAACAGGCAGGTAGAGGGGCAGGGAGAAGCATGCAGGGACAGGGTGAAAAGAGGGTTGTACCTGCCCTCTTTTATCCCCCCAGCAAACCTGGCCAGATGTCATTGTATATTTAATGACATGGGACTTTTCTTCCCTGAATGTTTCTAAGGGCTTCCTGGGGTGGGGCACCTTCTCAGCACTGGTGGCATCCTGCAGCGAGGAGCTTCACTGCCCGTTTCTGCACTCCCTTTCGCTTGTCGCAGTGGTTTCACCTGCAGCTCCTTGGCCGGGCACTGTGGGAGCACACTGGCGAGGAGGACTGGCAAGGACCAGGTTGGTGCAGCAGTGATCAGCCCAGGCACTCATGTCCCAACCGGCTGCTGGAGAGAGCAGAGGGGTGTTGGGGCAACAGAGATGCTAGACCAGCCTTTGATGTGTGAGGAGCAATTTGGCCACTCACAGCCAACAGCTGCGGTGCTTACTGGTGATGTGAGACTATCTTCTCTATTCATCCTCTTCATGCTGTTCCAGATCTTTAACAAGTCTCCTTGCTCTCCCAGCTGTGCCTCTCTCTCCCCTGCTTAGCCCATGTCCCTGCTGGGGCTGGCTGACCAGACCTGGACCTCCACCCATCCAAGAAGGTGTGGGTACAGCCTGGATTTACACGGTGCCTTGTCCTGTTTTCCGATCTTCTCCTAACTTCTCCTCATGCTGCATCTGCCACCTTTGGCACCTGCTGCATGTGGATGAGGTGTTTTACAAGACATCTGTTGGCACAGTGAGCTCCCTGGGTGATCTTCCTCCCTTTTTCTCTCTTTCAGCCTCTCATTTATCCAAGTGAGGATCTTCTTCCCTAGCCTCTGGCAGCTTGTCCCCTGCAAGCTTTGATGAAGATACTTCCCAGCTGACCGCGGAATGTCCAACACTCATATCTTGTTGACTCATCCAGAAACTGTATTTCTGAGGTGTGATTTTCCTGTGCAAAAGTTGGATTCAGTCTCCCCTGTGACATAATTTGTCCATACATCAACCGGGTCTGCCATTTACTACAGGTTTTGTGAGTATCTGCCCGCTCTGCATAGTAGATCTACTTGTCTGTAGTCTCCTTACCTCCGACAACCTCTTTAAAAACCAACATATTTGCTTCTTCTAGTCTTCTGGTGAAAACTAGAGGTAGCAAAGGTGAGTCTATGCAGCAGATGACAAACGGCAGTGAAAAGTTTGAGTTTCATACCTGATTTACTTCAGCTGGAAATGTCATCTCCTCTGTCTTCCTACTCATAGAATCATAGAATGGTTTGGGCTTGAAGGGACCTCTAAAGGTCATCTAGTCCAGCCCCCCTGCCGTGGGCAGGGGCATCTTCAACTGGAGCAGGTTGCTCAGAGCCACGTCCAACCTGACCTGGAATGTTTCCAGGGACGGGGCATCCACCACCTCTCTGGGCAACCTGTGCCATCCTCGGCGTAAAAACTTTCTTCCTTCTATCTAGT